TTTTGTTCTGATGAACCTCATCATTTCCATAAAGACATTGCAGGACAGTATACCTATGGACCCTATATTTTAAAAAAGACCCTATGGAGAATGTCCACAACAACGGAGTTGAAAATCCAGGAACTCACTGACAACATTGATGGGTTTGCGGTATGGGATGATGCCAAAGGAATATTGAAAAAATCCTCTCCCTTGGAAGAGGGCAGGAGCCATCCCTATCCATGATCTACATGTCTCCTGGAATTTCCGAAGCCAGGAACCCTCTGGATTATCCACTTGATCATAAATCTCATTCTCCCCAAATGCAAACACCGGAACTAAACTTGCTCTGTCAAGATACATGTCACATTAGATGACTTATTTTGAAGGAAGGATAGAAAGGAACATAGGAAAGGATGTGGAACCGGTTCCAAGAAGTGATAGTTACCCTGTCCTCAGAGCCATCTTGATAAATCCCTTCCTCTCCTTAAGAATCACCTGGAGCTCCTCTGCACGAGGAGTAGACTTTAATGCTTCTGCAGCACCTCCCACCACCAGACACACAGCATTCCCAGTTCCCTGCTTTGTGAGGAGGTAGTTCATGCTGGCCTTTGTTGCTGCTACTGCCCCTGAGAATGAGAGAAAAAATTTTATAAAACATTGTTGACTTGTGGAGTCAGAGAAAGGATACATAGTAATATTAAAATGTGAATTAAATTAAATACCATACCTGAACACATGAAAAATTCCCGGAAGCCTGGAACATAATAATTTTCCTTTATCGTGAGAAGGTAGGAGGTGATCCCAGGGAATGTCTTGGAGAAGTCTGTGCCTTCTGATGAAAAGCAGCAGAATGCACCAGCACACAATATCCCATGGGGATGATAACAAAGGATGTAGTTTTTATCTGGATTCAATTCTGCTGTTTTCACCATCTTTATGGGAAAATAATTGGCAAAATCCCGCCATAATCTCCATTCTCGAATCCACTGAACCCTGGCCAACAGAACATGGGATTATTATTAACCATGTGAATAACTGATTGTAACATGGAATAAATTTATGGCAGAAGATGAAGTGACATACCTTCGGCCACCCCTTTCACAGACTCGCCAATCATATAGAAACCAAATGGGATATATGAGGACAAGATATGAAAGGGGAGAGTAAAAGAAGAATAGGAAACAGGTGGAGATGGTTAAAGGGCCCAAGAAGAGGAATGTCATCATCCAAAAAGCTGCAGCAAACGTCTGCCGCCGCCTCTCAAAAGGCACCACAAGGGGTGCAAATTTCACCCCAAACAACTGGAAGCTCTTTCTGGAGAGAAAAAACAAAAAAATTGTTATTTTACAAGTTTAGAATGGAATTATGGACAAGTACCTTAGACTTCCTGCATTAATAAATCTGAAATTAACGGAACCCATAGTAATGGGTATCCATGAAGTGAATTCAATAATTTAAAAAAAGGCCAAAACAAACTAAATGCAAAGAGGTATACAATACTTCATGATTTCTAATACACAATAGGAACACTAGAGAAGCACTAGTAAAAAATTGCCTCGGTCTTTTTAATATTCATTTAACATTTTCTAAGCACTATTTATGGGAGAAAGTGAAGACATGTTCTTGGTTAGAAGCATCAGATAGATTGATGACTAGGAGGTCAAATGATGCTTACATGAGTTCTTTGACCACAACTTTACAAACTTCAATGTCAGAGATGAGTCCTGTCTGAGGAAGGCAAACCCAGTATACCCCCATAATACAGCAGTTTTTGCCTTCACTTGTCTGTCAGACTCATGCTTCATGGATCCTGACTGAAAACTTGATCCAATTACCCCTTTCCCTTTTCATCATTCCCAAAAGCAATGGCCTAATGAGAATATTTCCACTTTCCCCTTCACTGAAGAGAGAGCACGCATCTCTTCTGAGCATGCAACAGCCTATCTGCTATGGCTGATAACTTGAGTCAATTTGCACATGAAATTGCAAAATTCCAAGTGAATATCTAAAACTGATAACAGAACTGTCATATCTTACAGTCTTATCAATGATTACACATCAGAGGAAACATAACTCCCTTTTTGGCATTGAAAAGAAACCTTTCACTTTCTGACTGACAGAATGCAGACTTACAAGAATATGGATAAAGATCACTCTGGAATAGAAGAAGTCAATTTTTCATAGCATCATTGGAAGTTCTAAACTACAACAGGCAATGCAAGTCAACTCAGTAAAGCAATCTGCTCATGAAGCGCAAATCTAAACATCAACCCCAGTACACCTATGGAAGATGGGTTATCACAATAAGTAACATGATCACCATTTTGCATTTTCAATTTTCATGCCTCAATGATAGGATTGACATTTTGCAAACTCACGTTAAATCCATGGGTGATGAGAAAGAAGAGAACAGGAGATCTGGGGTTTGTCACATGAGATAGCAGGCTTCTTGACAGTAAGAGGTCAACATTTACTGGTGGGAAGTCAGTAACTCTTATCTAGACCCATAATGATAAGAACTGAACAGGAGAGACAGAGAGTGTCCTCGGATTTCAAGCACCATCCTCTTCATGGAAAAAAAAAAAAGATTTACTTCTGTTGACCAATGAAAACTTGTTTAGAGAAGATTCCCTCAAATAAATTACTTATCAACAAGTGCAAAAATATAATATTCAGTGAGAGTATCCATCCAAAGGACTGGACCTCCACTTGCCATCATTCCATGGGACAGGCATCTCTCTTTGAAATAAGTCGTGCAGAACACACAGGAGGATTTAGAATCACATAAATTCATTTTGGGAGAGAGACACCAGCATCTTCATCAGTTTCTATTCCAATCTCCTCAAAAAGTTCTTTCTTGGACTTGGGATAGTTCTCCAATATAGCACCCAGAACATCAAGACAGAGGCGTTTCCGCTTCTGCCATTCTCGCTCACACTTCTCCCGATCTGCTTTCAAGTCCTCTTTCTTCTCTGACACAACAGGAGCTGTCACTGTTGATGACTTATTTTCCATTGCTGCCAGATTTTCTTTCATCTTCCCAATAGCTTCTTTGACCTACATGTGTAAAACTTTCACTGTAACTCATGAATTCTGACAAACTATTTTATGATCTGAATGGAAAGAATATATTCAAGCAACTGCTTCATTATTAAAGCCTTATTGGGTGCCTGGAGGACTTCTGAATAGCTCCTATTCATCCCTCAACTGATTTTCCTGCTATGGTCCCTTGGCATTCTCACAATTAAGTAGGCTAAGATTTATTATCTAAAACATTTAGAAACCATAATTAAACTAAGTTATATATCTGGCATAAAAGCACATGAATGCACAAGACCTAGGTTAATATAAATGAACAGCAGTAGCATGAGCACAGGAAGCAATTCATCTACAAAACACCATGATGCAGACAGGGTATCATACTTACCCGTGACTGTAAATGCTTTACCTGTGATACCTAAAGCTTCATTCTCAGGTGAGTGAATGTTTTCAGTTTTTCCCAGACCAAGAAAAATAAGCATGAATAGAATTTCCTATTATGCAAGAAAATTTAATGAACAGGTCACTAGCAAAATTCAGTGGACACACGACATTTCAAAACTCAAAAATAACTTTAAATTCTACTTTTTATGACTCCTTATGCCTGAATTTCATTCACAGAGGTATGTTTCACACGGCAGGAAAATCTCATAGGTCATAAATGAAAAAGTAGCAGCCGATATCAGTTATCTTGTTCCCACACTTAATCTGGACAGCTCAAATATTTGATATTGAAAGACAAACATAAGAATGAAATAAAAAAATCAATTAAAAGAGAGGGGACTGGCACAAAAATTCCAGAGCCAGGTTCCAGCAACTGAATGGAGCTCAAATAGACAAGCAGGCAAGATATGAATACCTGACCTTTTCCCTTTCTCTGCTACAAAAAACGTACCAAATCATATACCATGATGTAGAAGAAAGTGAAAAGAAACATAGAAATACTTCTTCAAAGAACCCAAAGGTCAACTCCAAGTATTGGGTCATCCCATAAGTAATGCTTTTTTTTTCTATATTTTTAAATTAAAAATAAAACAACTTTTCGACAACCTTTAAGCAATAATATATTTTCCCTCATTCTCTACAACATTTTTCCATTTTTCTGGTAAACTTTCTATACCCTTCTTGTAAAATTCCCTTGCCTTGGACTTGAAAAACTCCTCCAATACAGTTCTGACATCATCTATGGTAGCCATCTGCATTGCCTTTACTGTACTCATACAGCATAATATGCCGAATATGTTCTTTTGTCACTTTCATTTTAAACTCTCTGAAAAGACAGAATAATTGATGTACACTTATCAAAATTTGATATGAAAATGAAGACAAGTTAATATCAAGTCAGTATTTATTTCAAATGCATATCTACATACCATCAACAATTGTTATTGGTTTATTGCAAGCTTCTTGGAAAAACTGCATTACTTATGGGATGACCCAATAATTTTCTTGGTGCTTTTTAAAAATTTTCAAAAGGACTAAATGAATAAGAGAAATTGTAATATTTAATATCTAATCATGCACTAGTTAACACTGAAGTTCAATATCCATATCATATTTAAAAGGCTAATGTGAATGAGGTAGTGCAATCAACCAAGTGAAGTCTTACACAAGCAATAAGATTATTCCTTTTTCTTGGGTGATCCAGAAGTGATTCCAAATACCCTTTAAAGTAAGTTTTACAGAGATATCATAACCAGTCTAGTATGGAGAACTTCTACAATTATTTTGGTAGCTGTGGTCTTGGCCTCTGCTCAATGGAAAAATAGACCATGAGGAACAAATATAAGCTTTAAATTTCTGGTGCAAGAGTTCAGGAATGCTCCTTGCATGCTGAAAACCACTCAGAAGTGATTCAACTGATCTCCCTAAGGAGGCACATATCTGGACAAGATACTCAGTGCAGAGAATCCATATTCATAGACAATCATTTATCTTCAAATTCACATCATCTGAGGATTCCTAAGGTCAATTGCTCACATTCTTGCTTGATTGCCTGCAAGTTTCAAAGACATGTACTGCATGGGTCACAGATGACCACTAAGTTCAAAGGTAGAGCACAAGGAACAATTGGAGCATAATTAAACCACTCACAATATCCAAGAGGATTTTACAAAAGTGTATAGACAAATTACTAATACCTGGGAAATTCAAGATGAAGGGAAATTGTTTCATGAAAAAACTTTACAAGTGTCCTTAAGCTTCAAACAACCACTTGCCCCAGAAATGTTAAATTATCTGAATATTAGTGGATGGACTGGTCTAAGAAAGGATTAAGGGGGGGAAAAAGGGAGGAGTAGAGTTCCAAGCTGTCAGCTGATACAACCTTCACCATTAACATAGCTAGTCAAACTTGGAGGAATTCTTCACATATACTCAAAATGCAATTCAAGATAGAGAAAAGCTGATAAGCTTATTTTATGGTCAAGAACGACATCATTGTTGGTGCAAGTGTTCTAGACAGGTACTAGTGCAACTGGAGGAAGAGGAGGAAAGGCAAGATCTTACCTCTAGCAGCTGCTTTTTGGCCTCTGATATAGAAATGACCTTGTGAATTGCCTTCAATTCAACTTCATATTTCTTCAAGTCCTCCAAAGATGCTTTGTATTCCGAATCCAAACCACTGATCTTTGCATCAATTCCTCCAACATCTCCTTTCCCCAAGTCTTTCAAGATATCTTGGTTGACAACATATATTCTCTGCTTATTGTATGTCTTCTCTTTCAGCTTGTTATCCTGCATAGATATAGGTGAACAAAAAATATATACTGGAGAATGGTTATATTTGTTATACTCTAAAAAGCTTTAAAATAGGCCTTTGCATGAGAGGCTAACTAGAGAGGCCTGGGCTTCATGCTACTCAACATGGTGTTAAGTAAAATCCAGGGACCATCTGAGCCAATCAAGAGGGCTCAATAGAACTGATTGAACTGAGTATAACTTTTCAAAAGTACACCCAGCATTTAATGAAGCATACTCTCAAATGAAAAGCTCCTGTCCATCTATGCTCAGCAAAAAAAACAAACGAGACAGGGTATTATGAATGTAACACAACCTGGACATGTTATAGAGATAAGAATATGTCTAATATTCACATTAGGCCTTGTCATGACAGGGAGTTGGCTTAGGCATAGGTCAAGCCTAGACGACATTGGGTCCCAGATGCAATAGTGACCATAACAATGCTTCTTACAGTGAGCTACATCTAGGTTTACTTGGACTCATATTACATGAAAAATATCCACCATTGAGAGATCAACTTATAGGCTCAGCAGAGTCCCCTAGGGTCAGTATAATGTAATTAAAAGAAACCAGGCAAGAACCAATGGTTTGGGTTTCAGCCTCATGGTTGTGGTATTGTTACTTGATGATAACTAACAAGGATAACAATTACAAACTTCTACTCCAATGAAATTCACAGTAAAGATCCTCTGATGAATTGGAGAGCCCCAATTGAAAATTGGTGGTTCCTTCCCTGTGGAAGGAGTGTGTATTCCAAAAAAAGAACCAATTCTGTCTTTCACATTGAATACTCCAGAGCTTAAGCATAAGCTGGGAGGGAGAGGTACAACCAATCCAACACAATATAGGCTAGGCATATAAAAATGATGCCATGATGATGTTGAGTTCCCTGATTAAATATTCCTCACTATTGCCAACCAGCATTGGGTAGCTATTACCTTCCTAGTGTTTTTTCAGACAAGGATTTTGTGGAATCTTATGTAAGTGTTCTCTCCTACTGAAGAACATAAACATGCAAATTTTCCTTTCCATTTAAATTCATAAGAAAGAATGAACTTCTCTCCATGAAATCTGGACCAAATTCACAGCACTGAAGTCTTGAAAATTACTGTGACAACAGCACCATTACCCAAGAAAGTAAAATCCTAATAAGAATAGACCTATCACAACTCACCTGAACAAGATGATCCAAAGCTTTCTGCAATGCTGCCTTGCCTTGCTCCAGATGGAGGTTTTGAGAGATGTCTGATATGTTGTAAGGGCGATTCTGTTGGCACATATATTCCAACACCGTTTCCCTCAACTGCTTCTCAGTAGTTTTACTCATGATTCATTCTGACCTATAGGAATAACTCCACCTGAGCCAAACTGAGACAAAGATTTTCCCTA